GTGTGTTTATTTTGGAGGGGAAGAGGGAGGGAATTTTTTACTTCCAAACTATGAATACAGTATAATGTATTTAGATACATGCAATTGTTAAGGATTATAATATGCTCTAACATGCAGTATTAGATAGGTAATAAACATTACTACAAGGTCTAATTGAAATCTGACCAAAATTTACATTGGAAATCATCGGCATATGAACCAAAGCATAGTGAATTTTAAATGTCACGATGCCACTTCCACAATCTCTGCCATCCACTCATTGTAGCTTTTGAAGATGCAACAATGTACTGTGAAATACCATTTCTCAAGCTTCACGTTAGGCAGCCATTTGTGAAATACACATTTACTTAACTTTGATATTTAATTATTTTTGTTGCCTGAAAAATACTAATAAATCTTGATGAAATATTTCTTCTTATTCTGTAAACTGTCGTGGAAGAATGAACCTCTCTCTTTTATTAATGTTATTATTAATTTTATATAGCCTCCTATGCTCTTAAATTCCCTCAGTATTAAATCGTTATTATCTTGATTGTGCTTCTATTTTTGCTTATGGGTCTCTACATACATGTTACCTTCTTATGTCATATGTAGACATGCAATTCTAGACAGAATTACGATTCCTGGAAGTTTAATTTTTTTAAGAAGACTTAATATGTTTGTAACAAATAATGTACTTCAGCTTCCAGGGTCAATGACCCCCCATCTTAATCAGGTTTTTGTCCAGTTTCCCTGATCCATTGAGCAAATGCTGAGATGGCTCCTTGTTTTGCTTCTGGACGTTAATGTAGCATCACTATGTGCACGTTTTGTTGAACTCTCCTTTTGCTTGTAATGATAAGAGTAGAGGTAAGGGCGAGTTGCTATTTTGTTAGCAATGCAGAAAAATCATGCTTCCAATTTGTGTACCGATGCAAATAAGTTTTCTATAACTCGGAAACAAAAATGACTATTTTTCAAATATTGCTAATCTTATGATGTTTAAAATGTATTTATGTATTTTATTTATTTACGTTAAACTTGTACTCACTTTTCAACTATTTATAGATAAAATGATGGGAAGAGATTCTGAAACTCAAGAAAACGTGCACAGATAATCTTTTCCTCCCTATGTCACATACAGTTTTTACTGCTTTTTTGACTGAATAAACCTAAATCTAAATCAGATTGTAGGGTCCCAAACATTTACATATTTTGTATTATATTCATCAAAAATGTTGTTTGTTCAAGAACTATTGGCTTAGGTAATCCACAATAACTAAGTCAATTAGCAAAGCTACAAGAACACTTATTCCAGTGCATAGAACTTTCCATCAGGTTCCAACTGAAAGCAAACAAAATAAATATTGAACTCAAATGTCAATTAATAATCTATCACCAATTTTATTTCCACGATAAAGTGTTTGGGTAATTGTCTGCTAAAAGGAACTTACTAGCATTACACACAAGCATCAAATCCAATTTACATTCACCCTTGCAAACGTAGGGAGGAGAAAACGCTGACTCGAGACTCTGTTTTTTTGACTAAATAAATCTAAATAATTCTAAATGGTGCACAGGCAGCATTATAGGTACGATGTGATTCAAAAGTTCTAAGATTTGTTAAGGTTACAATTTCTTCAGACTCGTGAGGGATGCAGGTTTGGATGATTTTATTTGAAGGCTACATAATTAAAGAATTTCTGTTCAACCTTCTCAGTGCACTTAGAATATGAAGTGTAATGTGGATGAAGTGAAATAACCAAATTGTTGACTTGTGCATCAAAATTGATTGTATTAGGGTAACATCTAAAGTTGTTAGAGATGATGTTAATGTACATTTTTGTCTTTACAAAACTGAGTGTCCTACAGCTTTCCTTAAAATCTATATGGTTTGGTTTGTAAATGTCAATTTGATGTCAAATATTTCCTCTAGGTCTCTTGTACTTGTCACATGTTGACGAGTTACATCTCATAGTACGTAAACCTATTTTTGTTATTCTTTCTATCAAAACGTATGATTTTATGCCAATATTTTCATGTTTTGGGTGTTAATTCATGAAGATCATAATAGTTTTGAATTTCATGATAATTACTTATTTATTTTGTTTTTAGTATTCTCCTGACCCATTTGTGGCTATGATGAACTTGTATAACAGTCGAGGAGGAACTCCAGAAGAATTCACTCAAGCTTTATATGCTGTGAGTAGAGATCTACGACTTGGCCGAGGCAACGCATCTGGATCCAACAGTGATCGCAGTCGAAGCAGCCGGTCAGGAGGCTCTGCTTCAGACAGCAAAGCTTCTTCTTCCCAAGGATCTGGTGGCAACAGTAGATCTTTGTTGTGGGGATTTCGGCCTTGGGGAAGAGCCAACAATGAGGAAAACGAGAATGATTCTGAATCTGGTATTTATTCAGCTTTGAAATTGTTTTGCAGCATTCTTCTAGCAATGTGTTTATTGATTCATAATCTTTTAATTAGGTGATGATTCTGTTCGAACGCAAGACAAGGATAGAAAACGATCATGGCCCAGTTCAAAGAAAGCATCTGGTGGAAGTTCAGCAAAAAGGCGCAAATATTCTGACATTTCTGAAACTGTTACATCAAGCAGTGATGAATCTGATGGTGATCATAATAAATCTGTTTTCTACGGAAACATAAGTATGTGACTTGGGCATAATATTACTGTCTTGTACTTACATAAAATTGTTTTGGCGATTAATAGATGTTTGTAAGTTCCAGAAAAGGGATGGTTTGCATTCCATAATTGTTGTGGCAATACAATGTGTGTTAAATACAACAGCCACATAGCCATACCATTTGGACACTAGGGAGGTCCTGTTATTTGTGTATAGAGGGAAAAACAAAGATCACAGGTTCCAACAGATTTCACTACTTAAACTCAAGTGGTTCTCCCAAATACCATTTTCTTTTTCCCTTTTCTTATTTTTTTAATGAAGAAACTGATTCCCTCAAACATTACGACACACTTATTTTTGACAGGTTATGTTTACAGTTAAAAATTAAGGGGATCTGAGTGGATATCTGGTTATGAATGGAGTGCTCCTTTATTAATGGACATCAATTTGAGGTCTGATTACTCTTCCAACAAACTTGAAAATATAATAAAAACATGAAGATTGATGAATGAGCTGGTAAAGAGAGATACTCAAACAAATTGCTTTGTATCGAGTGAAACTTGGTGTGAAAATGAATGCAAATCGTTGCCAAGATTTTGTTACTCTTTTAGACAATGCACACAGACTTTTTTTCATCACCCTGCTAGTGCAAATCTGAAAATGAAAGAATTCACATTGATAGAAGTTCATATTGTACTTCCAAATCCAAAGGATGTTAAAAAAATATTTTCATAACAAAAACTTCTCAAACTTGGAGACTTGCCGTTAACTTCTATGTTACCTGTGAAATAGAGGAAAGTATCTATGAGTTTGCAGTTTCTATCTTGATCGCACAAACATTACATAATGTGAAATTGAAGTATATTGTTAAAGAATGTGAAAGACCTATTAAAGAAACAGAGTCCATGTACAAGTGCGGGACAGGAAAAATCCGATGACGGAGAAGGGAGCAAACATTCTTAGGTGACTTCATATGAAGGACTCAAGTACATAAATTCAATGTACAATACTTTCAGAGGGACCTGAAAAGTCAGAGGATGTCAAAGTGGGGGAGGGGGGGGGGAGGACCAAAAGGAAAGAAGCGATGATTATGATGATTTTAAAGACCAAGAAAACAGTCATAGCTCATACAATAAGAATTAACATTTTCATCATCAGGGCAATTTTCTAGTCAGTTACACAACTTGCAAATTTATTTTTACTAAATAGTAAGAATTAGTTAAAACTTTAAAAAATCTCTTGAGACCTCTTAAAAATTAGGTGTTGTCTTATATCCAGAGTTGACTTTTATTGGGGTAAATGCAGTAAATCTTTTAATCTTATTTTTTTCAATATCTCTAGTTTGCAACTTCCCTAATATTCTACCATTGTCCAAAAAATCTTGTTTTAGTCTTTAACAACCTTGTCAGTAATGAAATTTAGTGAGGTGGTTTTGCCTTCATGATGCACTCCGAAAGACAACATTTTTCATTAAGACCGCCAGTGTGACTATTTTATCAATAAGGTATTAAGGGCTACAAAATGCAGTGGGCGATTTGCTGCTGTGTATAAAATTGATTGATTCTGACTGAACCCCCTTAAAGTCTAAAAATTTTTTTTAAATTTTTTAGAATTTTATTTAAAATATAAATTTTATATACCTATCAACCAGCTGCAAAGGCGTCTGCATTCCTCTTGTTTTGGGAACTCGCTTACAGGTGAACTACATGTGTTTAAACTGCTGAATGCTAATACCACACCAAAATCACAATATGAAAGTAAGAAAATAAGGTCCCCACTCAAAGGTAGAAAAACAGTAGAATTAAGTTTGGACACTCTGTGCTTTAATTGTTTGAGAAACTTGTGAACGGGGCACTGTGCATTCTCAGATGTGCCCTAGGAGACCCAGTTACTTTACATCTGATTATATGATAATGTGTATCATAATGGTAAATCAGGAATCCTGCCTCTGTAAAATACATTGAGAATATTGAAAACTGGTAATAAATTATATTAATATTTTTTTATCTCTTGCTTAACTGCTTAATGGGATCCTTTTTTTATATAATTTAATTGTATAAGTAGTATGCGCTATTGTTCTCCAGTATATTGTTACAGACTTCATTCTAACATTCAATAAACTTAAAAATTAATTTCACATGTGTTCTTTACAGGAGAAATCAAAAAAAACTCAGTGATAGAGATTTGTGGAAAATCTCAGCGAAAATTGCATCAAAGGATTGGCGAAATCTTGGACGAACATTAGGAATTGAGGAACAAGTTCTACAGAATTTGAATCATGCACATCAATCCATTGGATTCCGTGAGTGTACATATCAGATGCTTTTGGAATGGAAGGGCCGAAAACCTCGTAAATGTACATTTGGAGAACTGTACACAGGTCTTACTAATGAAGGTATGGTTTCTGTTGCAAAGCATCTTGTTAAGCTCATGGGTCAGGTTGATGATGGACAAGATGGCGATTCCTCATGAATGTTTATTTTGGGTTTTGTTTTTAAGTGCCAAGTGTATAATTTAATGTTGATATCAATTTTATAAATATTGTACAAAATGTGTTGTGAAGAAGTATGGAATATATCAATGTGAGTTTGTTTTATTGTATATTGATGCAGTTGAAACACATGATAACTTGGATCTTTCAAATTTCAATTTTATTTTATTCAGAGTAAGAAAATCAGAAGTGAAGAATGTGTATTTATAAGCAAAGTTTGTTAAGCATATAAAAATACAACTTTTTCCTTTCTTTCTCCTTTAGTAATGCCAGCTCTCTAGAAACAAATAGTTTATTTGTTTTAAACATTTTGATCTTTACATTTTTTAAAATACAACTCCCAAAAATTGTTAAATTAAGTCACATTTCTAATTTTACTTAAAAATAGTTTTTAAGTAAACTCTCCCCCCCCCCCCAAAAAAATTGAAATAATATTTATCATTCATCACAAAATTGTTTCAGCTTAATGAATGCTACGAATTTTGTCATTCATAGCAACTGCAAAAACAATTATTTACATATTTAAAAATAGTATTATTTTACTATTTTAGCTTATTTCATTAAAAAGTTCAAAATTAATTTAGAGCGACACTATATTCCAATCATTATATTATGACATTATATTGCAATCATCTGTCTTCAAGTGTTCATGTGTCATTTAATTACGAAAACAGTTTTTGAAAGAACCAAAAAGTGGATTGTGTTCTTCCATTGGAGAGCTCCAAGTTCTACTATATGATTTATCCAGAGGGGGAAATACTTGCACCTTTTCAAGTCTTAAGTTTGGAGACATGTTTCATATCATATTTCCTTCCAATTTAAAATGAGAAGAAACATCTTTCTTTGTCTCTCAAATGTTTCCAGTGATAAAAAACTTGTTGCTTCTGAAATTATTTATTACTCATTCATTTTTGGAGTTACATGTGTGATATGTATTACTGTATTTCACTCCAAAATACTGATCATGTTGTAGTGTCCTCTTACTCTAGTCTGTAAGTGTTATATTGAAGAAGATACTTGACTCATGTAGTTGTATTCCTTATTGTATAGGTATTTTTGGTTATTAAATGGGACCACTATAAACTTATGAAACATAGTGTGATTTTCATTGGCTAGATTTTTTAAAATAAACCAATGTGTTTTAATAATTTTAAAATGTAGTAAAATGGTTTTGTTGCTGGAAATATTGTAGTACTTACATTTTTTAATGTATTTTAGTTCATGGTTACAATGTCATCAGCTTACAGCTATGTAAAATTGTTTGAAAACTGTTGTTGTTTTTTTCCTTTCCTTTCTTTCTTTCTTTTTCTTGTCTTTTTTTCTCCTTTTTCCTTTTTAATAAAAAATAAGTGAAAAAACAAATATTCTTAATAATAAATCATATGCTCCTCTCCTCTTTTGGAGAGACAAGCATTCTTCCAATAGTTTCTTTGAAGTTAATTAGAGAATGGCATTACATCAGCTGTTAAATTCTTTGTTTTATTTTTCTTTAAAATTTAATTTTGTCTTTCTAATAACTAAATCAATTTGTTTCATTCTTGGAACGTTTTCTGTTTTAATGGGTATTTATCAATTCTGTAAAATTTTCCTAAAATTATTGCTGATTCTTGGGTGTAATGCAGCATAATAATAACTAAAAGTTTCCAAAGCATGCATTCATTTTGGGAAGTTTTGTTATTAAGTTTATTTGTTCATGTTTATAGTACTGAAGACAGATCTCTCTAATGTATAATGTTGGAATCCGAGTTATTGTGTGAGAGTTATTTATTTGTTCAATGTTTGAATGTTTGATTGATATTCTTTTATATACAAGAAATCTTTTTATTCTAACTTACTGTTGAAAAAATTATTTTTGTTGCATTTATGAAATGTTTTTGACATTGTTTTTGGAATCTCTGTAATATTACAGGTGTAATACACACTTTTAGTTAATTTGTTTCAGTATTTTCAGAGTACAAAGTTGCTGATGTCATCTCAATTTTTTTAACTATAAAGTGCACTTTCCATTTTTCTTATTATTTAGACTTCTTGGTTAATGTTAATGTTGTTAATAATCATATTTCGTATGATCCTTTGTAATAGCAAATCATTTCATTTCCATTTTTTTTATTTTTTAAGAATTCTGAATTGCTGAAGATTGTTCAAACACTGTGTATAGATTGTTAATAGATTTGTATATATGTATATTTATTATTGAAAATTATTATGTACAAAACATGAACAGTATTTGTACAATTTTATACTCTTGTGTAAAAAAAATAAAATTAATTTTTACATTATATATATGCCATAAATTTTCTTCTTTCTGTTGCTCATTTGAATGGTATGTGTATAACAATTATTCTGGTCAGAGCATACTTTTTACATGATTCTATAATATTTCCAAACTAGCTGAATGTGGTATCGCCGACACTTGAAACTTTCTTGGGTTGTTTAACTTTTCTTTTTTTTCTTTGGTTCAGTGTCCTCTTTGCTGAGTTTAGATGTTTTGTAACTATTTGCTAACTGACGACGTAAATTTTGCAATTAGTTTGTGATATTGAGCTTGATTACTACCTTTCGCTTTCCTGAACGTAGGTAATGTAATTGTTTCAGAATATTGACGTAGTCAAGAGTTATTCTGAAATGTTTCTCTTTCAATTTTTCGTACTACATATTTTTGAAATCAATTTGAAAATCACACAACGTTGTTGGGAAACACACATTTATCTGTTGCACCTCTGTGTCGCTTGGCGTATTCTGATTTCTCTTATAAAAATTATTGTTTTCTCGATATTCTTTGAAGACATTACACTGGTCCCCGCTGTGTCACCTTTAGATAGGAGATGTAATGATATACACATTGGCAGTTTAAAACTGGATATAAGCATGATCCAAAAAATGGTGTTATAGGTTGTTAAAGAATGAGAGCCCACAAGCAGGTGCCCTGCAGGAAGAACATTGGTAACACATAGGTGTATGATGTCAGAGGGAAGACCAACAACACATATTAAATGCATAAAACTGTTAGAGTGGGGAGTGAGTGTGGGTTACTATTTTAGAGATTTTAGCAATCCGGTTATGAGCAGAGTGTGATGTTTACTCATTTTAAGACACCCCCTTAACTGAGCATCACCAACCTAACAAGAAATGAAAGCTCGTAGGAATGGAAATGCATGAAGTAAGGCAGATTTACGCTTATTCATTTCAGAAGCAGCATACAATTCAAGAATGTTTGTGTGTACCCCAGTTACATGCTCTATGAATTGAAGGAAGTGGTTCACTGTCACAGGAATTATGTTATTTTGATGAAAACTGCTACAATGTTGCCCACAGCAAGGTGCGCAATAAAAACATAGTTTTCAGTGTGGCTGTCGCTCTGTACCATCTCACTCCATGACTTCCCATGTTGTTATTTTGGCATGAAAATATTCTGCAGAAGATAGGTAGTCTCGTTGTACAGGAAGGGCACTGTCGGAACAAGGTTTAGTTTCACCACCCAGCCAACAGCAGATGGTTCCGTCAAGATAATTGCTGTCAGCTGAACGTGGGGAAAACTAAAATATGCACAAACGAGAAAAGTAAAACCAGAGAAAAGGATGAATTGCACATTGTGGTGAAAAAAGCAAGTGAATTCCCAGGTTGATATACTACATATTTTGTGAGTAATGGGGCAATTTTTGAACAAATGAATGCCACACTCCAGTTGTAACCAGTAGATCACTAGAATACCCCAAAAGTTAGTGTCATGTAAGTCTTAATTTGACATCAGACTGGAGAAAGATCTTTCAATCAACTTGGAAGCATCCAAAACATTTTTCACCTGTCATAAGATAATGATTTCTAAGTGGTCTTTTATTAGATATGATTTTAACAAATTCTGCCTTGTCTCTCATATAAAATACAGCAACATTTTGTATATATTTTGACTGAAATTCAGGAAATTTACAGTTAAATCATAATCTTCAAATTCATCATCTTCTTCTCCGATGGTTTCTACCCCTTAGAGTTTGCTGTTTTCGATTTCCATAATTATCGGTCCTCCCATTGACCCTCTTCCAATTCTTTCTCCTCCATTACTTCATGTATATATGTCTTTCAGGTTAAACCAGGTCTACCTCTTCTACGTCTTCTTTCAGGTATCCAATTTAAAATTTGTTTTGGCCATCTCTTATTTTGCATCTTCTGGACATGTCCATACCATTGAAGATGGTGAAGATGATATGGAGTATATGCTTTGCAAATTAAAAAAAGAATAAGAAAAATGGGGACTTAAAATCAACCTTATATATATATAAGGTTGATATAATATATATATAATATTATTAAAGAGAAGTAGCGATAAACTACATCCTTGCTTTAACCCTTTGTAAGTTCTAATGCTTCGGGTAATTTTCCTCCCCGTTTTAATGCACGCTTCAGTATTCTGGTACATTTTTGTAACTAAATTAATCCATGTTTCTTGCACTTTCAGTCTTTTCATTGCTGGCCAAATTTTACATCTTGGAACACTGTCATAGGCCTTT